ATTGAAAGGTTAATTAAACAGGGATATCTCGGTCGATTTGTACAAAATAAACTAGCTGGTATCGATAATGCTCCTACTGGGGGGCAACATACACCAAGGCAGCAACATGGGGGTCAACCAGTCGTAGGAGAAATTCAAACAATTGCTGGAGGCTCATCAATGATTGATCAAGTCCTTGTCACTGTACCTGGCGAACCAATGCAGAAGAAATTGCTTCTTGAGCCTATAACTTTTGATGATTTTGATTTGGAAGGAGTTCGAGTCCCCCACCAAGATCCTTTAGTCATTAGCGCAGGAATTGGCGAGCCTTGCTATAACGTAAAGAGGATCCTAATCGACAATGGGAGCTCTGTAGATGTCTTGTTCTATTCAACTTTCCTCAGTTTGGGATTAACAAGGGAAATACTTCAACCTGTATCAGGACCCTTATATGGTTTTGATAATCGATCAGTGAGAGTCGAGGGAACAATAAATCTTCCAGTTGTCTTGGGAGATTTTGCTCGACAGATAACCCACTCAATCCAATTCATCGTTGTCAAATCAGAATCAGTGTATAATGCTATCTGCGGGAGACCATTGCAATTAATTTTTGGCGTCGTGACTTCTGTAACACACTTAAAGATCAAATTTCCAACCCCTGCAGGGATCAGTGTCGTGCGAGGTGATCAACAGATAGCACAATCATGCTACCTTAGACAAGCTCAGCCACGCCCTTCAATGACACTTAGCATTGAAAACTTTGATCTTCGAGACGAAGATGTATCTCAACGGGCTTCTCCCGTGGAAGACTTGGTTCAAATCCCACTCTCCGACGAACATCCCTTAAGAATAGTGCAGCTTGGTTCCCTACTCTTCGATGAGAAAAGGTCAGAGTATGTAGATCTTCTCTGAAGAAACCAAGACATTTTTGCATGGACTCCAGCCGACATGCCTGGAGTTGATCCGACCTTTAAACCAATTATCCAGAAAAAGCGCAGTTTTGCCCCAGACCGCTTACAAGCTATTGAACAAGAAGTCAACAAGCTTCTCGAAGCGAAGTTCATACGGGAAGTACACCATCCTGCATGGCTGGCCAATGTCGTCATGGTGAAAAAAACTAATGGTTCATGGAGAATGTGTGTCGACTATACAGACCTCAACAAAGCTTGCCCGAAGGATAGTTTTCCCCTCCCGCGCATAGATCAACTCGTTGATGCCACGTCTGGACATCAGATGCTAAGCTTTATGGATGCATACTCAGGATACAATCAAATAAAGATGAACCCAATGGACGAGGAGGCCACCTCTTTCAAACAAATAAGAGCTTATACTGTTATCAGGTCATGCCATTCGGGTTAAAAAATGCTGGTGCAACTTATCAACGATTCATGAATAAGGTCTTCAAAAACCTTCTCGGGCGTACAATGGAGGTTTATGTTGATGATATGTTAGTAAAAAGTTTGGAAGCATCCCAACACATTTCTCATTTAGAGGAATGTTTCCAACTCCTTCGTCAGTATGACTTACGACTTAACCCGACTAAATGTGCTTTCGGGGTCACATCAGGGAAGTTTCTGGGATTTATGGTTACTCATCGTGGGATTGAAGCAAACCCAGAAAAAATCAAAAATCAAGGCATTGAAAGAGATGGTGCCTCCAAGGAACATCAAGGAGGTGCAACGGTTGAATGGTCGTATAGCCGCCCTATCTCGATTCTTAGCTCGTTCTGGAGATAAGTATCTGCCATTCTTCAAAATATTAAGAGGAGCACGGAACACTGGTTTTCAATGGACAGATGATTGTCAGATCGCTTTCGAACAACTTAAGACATATCTGGCTTCACCGCCCCTTCTCTCAAAAGCCATCCAAGGGGAAATGTTATTTATTTATTTGGCTATTTCACTTCATGCAATAAGCTCTGTACTAGTCAGAATAGAAAACACAATTGAGAAACCAGTATATTACGTCAGTAAAGTTCTCTCTGATACAGAAAGTTGCTATCCAATGGCGGACAAGACTGCACTAACCCTGGTATTTTCAGCAAGGAGGCTTCGTCCTTACTTTCAGGCTCACTCTATTGGTGTTTACACGCAACTCCCTTTGAAGGCAATCCTGCAAAAACCAGAAGCATCAGGAAGATTAGTTAAATGGTCAGTAGAATTGGGAGAATTTGACATCCACACTATGTACAGCGACCAAACATCAAAACACAGGTGTTGGCCGACTTTGTGGTAGAATGTACAATGTCTACCGCTAATGAACCATCCTCTTCTTTTCCGCAACCACATCAGTGGACACTATATGTAGACGGAGCATCTTGAAACTCAGGAGCTGGTGCAGGAATAATACTCATC